ACAAAAGACATCTGTATTGTGTTGAGCCACTGAGGTCCTGGAATTGTTGGTTACTGCAGGTGTAGTTACCTGCTGTTAAAGGATACATCTTTTTTTTTTTTTTAAGATTGATTGCTTTGAGAGAGAGAGCAAACATAGAAGGGAAGAGCAGAGGGAGGGAGAGAAAGAAACTCAAGCGGACTCCATGCTGAGCAGAGAGCCGGATGTGGGGCTCGATCCCAGAATCCTGAGATCATGACCTGAGCCAAAACCAATAGTCAGACAATTAACCGTCTGAGCCACCCAGAAGTCCCAGGATACATCTTTTTTAAAAACTAAATCGTGGGACACCTGGGTGGCTCAGTTGGTTACTCAGGTCATGATCCCAGAGTCCTGGGATCAAGGGCCACATCAGGCTCCCTGCTCAGCCGGGAGCCTGTTTCTCCTTCTGCCTCCTGCTCCCCCTGTTTGTGCTCTCTCTCTCTCTCTCTCTCTCTGACAAATAAAATGAATAAAATCTTTATTTTTAAAGATTTTATTTATTTATTTGACAGAGATCACAAGTAAGCAGAGAGGCAGGCAGAGAGAGAGAAGGGGAAGCAGGCTCCCTGCTGAGCAGAGAGCCAATGCGGGGCTCAATCCCAGGACCCTGGGATCATGACCTGAGCCAAAGGCAGAGGCTTTAATCCACTGAGCCACCCGGGCGCCGCCTGAATAAAATCTTTAAAAAAAACCCAACAACCTAAAATTGTGACTTGTGCAAATATGAAATGAACATGTGTCAAAGATTTTGTTTAATTATTAGTTTTTTGAAGATGAAAGAAGGGACCATAAACAAGGAATACAGAGAATGCAGTTATAGATGCTGAAAAAGGCAAAGTTACGGATCCTCCCCGGGACCTCCAGAGGGCCATCAGGCCTGCTGACACTTCGATTTCAGCTCAGTGATACTCATTTCAGACTTCTGGCACCCAGAACTGTGAAAGAATCCATTTCCGTTGTTTTAAGCCAGAAGTTTGTGGTAATTTGTTACAGGAGCCCTAGGACACTAATAACACTGTCCTTCATTCTGCCTCTCATGTGGGCTCCATTGTCTGATAGGTTCTCCCTTTATGGGTCAAGAAAGCTGCAGCTGTACTACCTGCAAGCTAGTCACGGTTTAAAGTTCCATACAAAATGGAAGCCTTAATTGCTCAGAAAGAACTTCCTGCCCCGTGAAACCACAGGCGGAAGCTCCTCATACATAGATCCTGAGTCAGTCCTGAGGGCCAAGGGGAACGGAATCCGGGTATGCCTGAGTCACACGTCCACACTCGTCCAGACCACCTGGACGGAGAGCGGGGCAACTGAGAAACTTTCATACAGCAAATAGTGCCTCCAGCTTGGGCGCGTTGTCCCCCAGGGAAGGGCCTCGGGGCCAGCGCTAGGTATGTGAGATGCGCACCGGCTCCCTGATGGCCCCTGCTGGACAAGGTCCCTGGGTTTGTAGAGAGGACCTGGTGGCCAGAGAACGGACAGGGGTGAGGAGTGTGCATCCCTCTGGCTGCAGGACGGTTCTTTCTCCAGATTTGGTTCCGGTCTCCGAGATCCCGGCGACCTTGAGCGGCCGTGTGCGTGTGCGTGTGTGTGTCCCCACCCCGTCCCTCTGGGTGTGTCAGTGAGGCAGGGGAGGGGCTGAGGAAAAGGGCGGTGCGTATCCACGGCAACGGAGGACACTGACCGGGGAGAGGGCAGCTGGACCATCGCTACAGAAACCGAAGGACGCAAGCCCACGACTTGGGAGGAACTAGGAGTACCGCGAGGCGCAAGGTCGCACTGGGGACGCGACAGCATCTCGGTGGACACCCTGCGCTCACCCCCCGCCCCTCCCCGTTCCCCGCGGCCCGAGCCCGGGTGCTGACCCGGGCGCTGTCCTAGCCCGGCCGCGCCAGGTGGACGCCGGGGCGGGCGGAGGGCGGTGAGCGAGGGTCAGGGTTCGGGTCTCCGGCCGTCGCAGGAGAGCCGGTGGGCGTGAGCCGCCGCCCCGAGCCCGGGGCTCGCCCATCCGCGCCCCGTGCTTCACCGCTCGCACTTCGGTCCCGCGAGCCTCGTCTGTCGCTTCCTTCCGCAGCGTCCCTTCCTCCCGCGGGTTCGTTCGTTCGTTCGCGCGTTTATTCATCCTCCCGCTGTCTGGTTCCGCCCTCGGCGCCCGGAGCTGGTGGCCACCTGGCTCCGATTTGTTTGTCCATCCGTGTGCGCATTCATTCGTTCCTCCTCCTGCTCTCCAGTCCCGCGCTGCGCTCCCGAGGCCGCGCGGTCATTCCTTCCTCCGTTCCTCCCGCATCCACTCGGACCTCCTCCCCGCGCCGCGTCAGGGCGCGCCAGGCTGGTTCCAACGCCGAGCCTCCGCCGGCGCCCTCTGCGTGCGAACTCCCAGCCTCCGCGCTCACTTGCGAGGTGTGCCCCCAACCCAGCGCTCCCCGAGACCGGAACCCCCGTTGGGCATCTCCTGTGCAGGGTCCCTCCCCTTCTTCCACTCAGTAGTTTTCCATCCAGCCCCCAGTAGGTGAGAGCCCAGATCCTGGGGGCTGGGGAGAGAAACAAATAGTCACTTGTGTCCTGTCCGATGGGAGCCGGTTGTTGGCGTGGGCGATGGGGACTGACTGGAGGGGCGGCCACAAAACATGTGAGTACGCATTCTGGGGGAGAGTGGGGGACAAGGCTTTCAGGCAGAAAAGGGGCACACAGTGACCGTGAGAGGACGGTGGGGAGGCTGGAGCATTGAAGGCAATCAGGAATGACCTTCAGGGATTTGGATACTATCCCAAGATGGGCAGACTCCCAGGCAGGGCGCCCAGTTGGAGGGGACAGAGGACTGGGCAGCTGCCAAGCATAGGTTTTGGCTGGAGGGATATCCCTGCCAGGCTCCATCCTTAGAAACATGGGACTCCTGAAGCCATGGGTCCTTAAATAAGGATTTTTATTGAATTCTGATAACTTGTAAAAAACACATTTTTGAGATAATTATAAAATCACATCTGTAAGAAATAATACAAATAGATCCCATGTACCCTTTACCCAGTTTTGTCCAGTGGTACCATTTTGTAAAACTACAGTAGATAACCAAGCTATTCAAATAGATAATCAAGATACTGAGTATTTCCACCACCTGGGATTCCTCCAGTTGCCCTTTTAGCCACACCTACTTCCCTCCTGCCTCCACCTCTTCCGTAACCCCTTGGTTTTCTGTTTTCTCTTTCTACAATTTTGTCATTTCAAGAATGTAATATACATGTAATCATATAATAAGTAACCTTTTGAAATTGGCTGGTGACTTTTTAAAAAATTAACCCTTTTAATGTGTACAGTGTTTTTTTGTTTGTTTGTTTTAGTATGTTCACGTTTTGTGCAACTGTCACTACAGGCTAATTCCAGGGCCTTTTCATCACCCTGAAAGAATCCCCATACCCATTAATCAAACTCCCCATTCCTTCTTCCCAGCTTGTGGCAGCCACTAATCTACTTTCTGCTTCTTACAGATTTGCCTATCTTGGACATCTCAGATAAATAGAATCATACAATGTGAAGTCTTTTGTGTCTTGATTCTTTCATTTAGTGTACTGTTTGCAAGGTTCATGTATCTTATTACGATGTATCTGTGTTTCATTCATTTCATTTTTATGGCAGAATAATGTTTGGTTGTAGGTGTCCACTATGTTTTGTTTATCCATTTATCAGTGGTGGTCTTGTCTCAGAACCCTAGGAGACAGAGATCCAGAGTGCAGCTGGCTCCCCAGGAAGGAGGGCGACATGAGTCCCCTTCCCTGCCTCCCCTTCACCTCAGCTGCATTTGAGGTTGCACAGCATTTTTTGTTTCAAGCCAAGGGCCAGAAGGTCAGAGGCCTTACTCTGGGCCCCTGGTGAGCAGCAGGAGGCCTAGGGCAAAGGGGGGGGTGGTCCTGCCATCTTCCCCCTCCCAGTTGCTTCCCCCCCACCCCTCCCTCCTGTTCTCTCCACAGTTGTGGCCAGGGGTCCATTATAAAAAGACAAGCCTGAGGGGCGCCTGAGTGGCTCAGTCCTTAGGCTCAGGTCAGGATCCCAGAGTCCTGGGATGGAACTCCCTGCTCCGTGGGGAGACTGCTTCTACCTCTCTCTCTCCCCACTGTTCACGCTGCTTGTGCTCTCTCACTCTGTCAAAATAAATAAATAAAATATTAAAAAATAAAATAGGGGCGCCTGGGTGGCTCAGTGGGTTAAGCCTCTGCCTTTGGCTCAGGTCGTGATCCCGGGGTCCTGGGATAGAGCCCCGCATCAGGCTCTCTGCTCAGCAGGGAGCCTGCTTCCCTTCCTCTCTCTCTGCCTGCCTGTCTGCCTACTTGTGGCCTCTGCCTGTCAAATAAATAAATAAAATCTTTAAAAAATTTAAAAAAAATAAAAAAATAAAAAATAAAATAAAAAGAAACCTGAGCAGCTTGAAATACTTCAGCAGGTTGTGGACCCAGCAGCACACCCGCACATCTGGGGTTGTCACAGTCCCCACATGACAACCTGAGCAAGCAGGTTTCTGACCCATTTCCTGGCAACGCAGAGGGATTCTGGCTGGCTGCAGAGTGAGGGGAAAACAGCCGGGTGGAGGGGCAGGATGGTGGGGAGCTGAGGACGCAGGGTGGCGAGCAGGAAGGCCTCCCGGAAGGGAAGCTAGAGGGGGAGCCAGCTGGACCACCGCAGGTGCTGGGAGCTCAGTGAGAGAATGGGTGGGTTGGGTAGGGTGGGAGCAGACCACCCACAAAGCGCGAGGGGGCATTCCCTACTGCCAGCCATGCCCACCACTCCCAGCTCCCACACCTGGTGGCCAGGCAGGATTTCCACCTGTGCTGGGGCCTCTTCTGATAGAGACCAGTTCTCTGGTAGCACTCCGGCTCAGAGGCCCCTTCCAGGCTCCCAAGCAACCTTCTGGGCATTGGCCCCCTCAGCCCTGGCCTGCACCCACTGCCCTTTCCTCCCCAGGGGGTGAGCTGGCAGCGCCATCTGGCATACTCAGGGGGCCCTCTCCGGAAGGTGGTGGGTCCGTGTCTCCTCTGGGATGCAGGGGCATTGCACAGGGCCGCTTCTCAGGCCCGGCCACCACCATCCCTCGTGGCTTCCCATGCCAGGATTCCCATACAGTTGGCTTTCATTACCCTCTTACCTGGTCCTGCCCCACTGCATGCCCCTGCGGTCTGTGGGTTTGTCCGGCTTCCTGCCCCCACCGCCATTTTAGGGAGCCTCTCTCTGCCCTCGGCTGCCCCTGGGTACTTGGGTCTGGGACCAGCAGCCTCCTGCAGAAGCCTGTGAGGGAAGCAGGGAGAGGGAATGCTTGGAGCTGCGACCCTGACTAGTGTGAATCCTTTCTAGATTGGGAAGTTCCTTCTCATCTTGTCTTCAGAGCAGAGCCCCAGAGAGGACTGGATGGGCCTGAGGACTCACAGATGATGAGGACCCTATTGGGCTATCTGCCGGGGTAGCAGTGTCTAATCACAAGGGTTACTGAGCCCTGTTGCACCATATCCGGTGCTATGAAGGGACTTCTCCACCTGGCCCTGACTGCTCAGTTGGGAGGCTTCAAGCTGGCCCCAGGCCAGGGGAGAAGAGGCTGGCACCGAGAGCCCAGACCTGACCTCTAGCATCTCCCTGCAGCAGGGTGGGTGGGAGCATCTGGCCCAATTGATGGGTGGGAGGTGGGCCAGAAGGGGGCTGCTTCAGGGAGGAGGCAGGCAGATAAACCTCCCTCCCTAGGGATTTTGAGGGACTTGATTATTTAGCTTTGTAAGGCTGAAGGAACCCAAGGGAATACTGAAAACCCAGAGACTCTTAAGCATAGAGCCCTTACTGTCCCTTAGGCTGGCAAAAGACAAGGGGTGGATTTATGAGGGCCAAGGGGCTCAGGGGGGGCTTGGGCCTCTGAGAAGGCTGGACCTTGGCTACTGCTGGAACTTTGAGGATGTGCAGCAGATACTACTTTGAAACCAGCATTATATTCTGTTTGGGCTCACCAGAGGCTCAACACAGCATCTTTATTTGCCCGACACATTGAAGCTATCCAGCGGCATCACTGGATCTTCTGGTAATAGGCCCCATGTGCCAGAGCAGCGGACTTTGTATCCAGGACCTGCTGCGTGGGCCCCACACAAAACCGTCCTTGTAGACAGACTGGAGCAGCACCCTGAGGTATATATGTTGTGTCCAGGATTCAGAGGCCTCCTGTATTCCTCTTTTGTATTTTTTTTTAAGATTTTATTTATTTATTTGAGAGAGAGAGCAAGAACACACAAGCAGGGAGAGCGGCAGAGGCAGAGCGAGAAGCAGACTATCCGCTGAGCAGGGAGCCTGATGTGGGACTCGATCGCAGATCCCAGGATCATGACCTGAGCCGAAGGCAGACGCCTGACTGACTGAGCCACCCAGGTGCCCCTATTCCTCTTTTTAAGTGGTAGACCCTATCTGTTGCAGCAACTGATCTTTTTTCTTGGAGGGGGCTATCTTAACATGTTCTGGATCCCTGGGCACTCAACAGAGGAGGTGAGACCCCGGCATGTGTTTAACTCACATAATGGTCTAATGGACCTGCTACTTCATGCTCCTTAGGTCCAGTCAGCCAATGTCATCCCGGTAGTAGCAATGACACATGGGTGTGACGTCCTGTCAGAAGTCAGGCTGATCAGGATCTCTACAGAGATTACAACAGATAAAAAGAAAGTTGAGTTGATAGCCTTGAGCAAGCCATGCAAGTGTGCTGTTGTCCCTGCCACGTGAAAATGAGGTGATTGTGGCGGTCCTTGCATACCGGGAGAGAAAAAGCATTGGTAAGAACAATATCCCTGAAGATGAGACTCTTTAAGTCCCCGAAGTCATCCTAAACCTCTTCCTACAGAAGCAGCCCCTCTGACGGTTCAAACATCCTGATCACCACCTCATTGCTGCTGCCGGTGATGGCTAGTGTGCACATCGCTGCTGGGCTCTGTCACTTGAGCTCTGTTAAGCTGGCCTTTGATCTCCGAAATCAGTCCTGATGGCAGCATCTCCCAAGGCCATACTGGCCTGGAGCGCACTGGCACTTTTCAGGGATGCAGGTCCCCTCCCAACTAACCTGTTTCGCAATGTCATTAAAACAAGGCCGTCCTCCTCTTTACTATGAATTTGTATGATCACACATAACAAATCTACGCCAACGTTTCTATGCCCCTACGCCCTTGGATTCCTTCTTCCATGTTGCACTGGGGAAGTTCTGGCGATTTGGCCTCATCCAATTTAGGGCACTGTGAGTCCAGGTCAACCTACCAAACAAAAATCTCCCTCAAGCTACTCAATCCAACTCCTTAAACCCAATCTTTGCAAGTTGGCCCATATGGGTAGTTACATTTGATCCAGCCCAGTGTTGTATCCCATCCTTCTTGGTCAGATAGTCTTAGATGCTCTCCCAGGTTTCCTGGATGCCTGGGGGGCACGTACACCAGATCTTCATCCTCCATAAAAGCCCCCAGGCCCCAAACAAAGACAAGCCTCATGCTCTTTTCCTTTCTGAGTCTCGCAGACACTCCGTCTGCATCTGCTATCTCTATATCTTCAATAAATTCTGCTCTCACCTCTTGCCAGCTCGCGCTTGATTTTGAGCCTACATGAAGTCAAGGACCCTCTTACCTGGTCCTGGGGGACCCCCTCTGGGTCCCTGGACGTGGCCTGCTGGCATCACTTGGGGGGGAAACTATTGTAACATAAATGGTGGGAAGATTAAAAGTGATATATGTTCTCTATTAAAGTCCAATTGATGAGCAGACATAGTACGTGTGCCTGCCTTAGATCTTCTGGTTTTGCAGATTTATAACAAAGATCTAGGGATGGTAAAAAGAATTCCAGTAAGTACAGTTTGAAGGAACAAATGCAACCTTGGAATAGACTTGAACAGACAGGAAGGAAAAATCCAAACAATCCTTGGTGTACATCTTGATAAAAGGGTAAGGAAATGTATGATTATTTATGAGGAAAGATGGCGCACGTGTATTGAGCAAACATAGATGTAATGTATAAGCTCTGTACGGATGGATGTTTTTGCGATTTGTCCCACATAGCCAGCCACCTGGACCGTGTATGTGCCGGGTATGCTTATGAGTCTATATATACACAGGCAGGCTAAAGAATGTTGTTTGTGACACTCGTGCTGTGTGAGTAACCTTGGGAGCCTGCTGGTTTGAAGTATATTATATTGCCTCCAGGTCAGAACTGGCCCTTCTGGTTTGGGGGCCAAGAGCTACAGATCTTGTCTCCTGCTTCCTCCTGCTCCAGGCTGGGCTGGCCCCCCAGACTGGAATCCGGGAGGGGAGGCAGACACCCAGGCTCCTTGAAAATATAGAAACATGATAACATGGAAATGCAGCTCGCTCCAAACTGCACGTAGGCAACAGATGTTTAATTTCAAACCCTCTTATCTGCCCTATAAATAGGGCCTTATGGTGACGGTCAGTTAGAAGTCTCACCTGAGGGAAGGACACTCTGCTCAGGCCTCTGGATCAGGATTCCAGCCTGGCTGTCTCCACAGGCCTTCCTCAGCTAACCAGGTTGGATGTTGTAAGTACTCAGTTTTAAGGATGCCATTTATTTATTTGAGAGAGCAAGCAAGCAGGAATGGGGGAGCAGCAGAGGGAGAGGGAGAAGAAGGCTCCCTGATCAGCAGGAAGGTGAAGATCCCAGGATACCAGGATCATGACCTAAGCCAAAGGCAGACTCTTAACTGACTGAGCCACCCAGGCATCCCATGCAATTCTTGATCTCAGGGTTCTGAGTTGAAGCCCCACGTTGGGTATACAGATTACTTAAAAGTAAAAATCCTAAAAAGATTTCTGTGTCTCCTGTCTTTTCCTCTGGGTATTTTGTAGCCCTCTGGAAGGAGAGCAGGCAGTGGATTGGACATTGGTTCTGGTGCTTGTGCTTGGAGGAGGGGGTGCGAATTTAGGATTTCTTTCTTTTTTTTTTTTTTTTAAGATTTTATTTATTTATTTGTCAGAGAGAGAGAGAGAGAGATCACAAGTAGGCAGAGAGGCAGGCAGAGACAGAGGGAAAAGCAGATTCCCTGCCGAGCAAGGAGCCCGATATGGGACTCGATCCCAGGACGCTGGGATCATGACCTGAGCCGAAGGCAGCCGCTTAACCAACTGAGCCACCCAGGCGTCCCAAATTTAGGATTTCTAAGATGTCTGCCTATCTTCCTCCTCCTTTCCCTCATTATTCTGACCATCGGGAAGGGGGTCAGGTGTCTTAATTTTTGTTCCTCTGGTCCCTTCCTATGATGCATTTTTATTATGGAGTAACATATAAGTTTGAATGTAGGTAATTTTACCCCAGATCATGTGAACTTGAAAACACTAGGGTTGGGGCACCTGGTTGGCTCAGTGGGTTGAGCCTCTGCCTTTGGCTCAGGTCATGATCTCAGGGTCCTGGGATGGAGCCCCGTGTTGGGCTCTCTGCACAGCGGGGAGCCTGCTTCCCCTTCTCTCTCTGCCTGCCTCTCTGCCTACTTCTGATCTCTCTCTCTCTGTCAAATAAGTAAATAAAATCTTAAAAAAAAAAAACCACTAGGGTTACTTTTTAACCTTTTGAGTTTTAGCATGCCCAGTTTGTACAAGGACTTGTCTTTAAACCAATGAAATAGAGCTCCTCTACAAATTGGTTTTAGCAATACCATCCAGAGATAGAGGAAATACCTCCCATTTATAACACACACATGGATACATGTATACAAACAAGATGCGAACAAAACTTAGCCTTTGTTTCACTCTTATTTGTGCACAAGACCTTAAAGACCCAATTCCCAAACATCCCCCTTTTATTAAATCAAATCTTTTTTTAAAAGATTTTATTTATTTATTTGACAGAGAGAGAGATTCTAAGTAGGCAGAGAGGCAGGCAGAGAGAGGAGGGGGAAGCAGGCTCCTTGCCGAGCCGAGAGCCCGATACGGGGCTCAATCCCAGGACCCTGAGATCATGACCTGAGCCGAAGGGAGAGGCCTAACCCACTGAGCCACCCAGGCGCCCCTATTAAATCAAATCTAATTGTAAGACAGCATTAGAATTTATGGATCCATTTATTAGTTATTTTCCCTTTCCAGTTAGAACATGGCCCGTCATATGCAAAGATACCAAAAACCGTAGCAACAGACAAACCAAACGAAGCCCAGAGTACCTCTGGGATTGCTGGTTCTTCCCCACAAGTTGGGGACTTCACTGACTCAACGAAATGGCTTCCTAGTTTCTGGTTACTTAGTCTTACAGTTGGCTTTCTTTAATTGCGCACACAAATAAACTAGTTCAGACATGTCAAAAGAACCCCACTCAGGTTATCCTTACCTGTCCCAATGAAGCCAGCACCTGCAAATGTAGGCTCTGTGCATACGCACAGGTAGCCTGCCTGGGTTTCCCATGGGTGGTGGTTCGTTTTCTGGGTGTTGGTCTGGCTTTTGAAGCACAGTTCCCTACTCTTTTTAATTTGGGTTTTATTTTTAGGATAAGGCTTGACTAAGATCTAAGGATATAAAGAGTGGTGGATCGAGAGGGTGCCGCTTGTGAGTGTTACTTTTGAATGGCCGTGGTACACTCTCTGTGTCTCCATTTCTCCTTGGAAGGTCTAGGACCATAGAGGGGTTTGGAGCAATGCAAGACTAATCCTTATGTGGGCACCCCTGCATGAGCCAATCATCACTTACCTTATGAGACAGGAAATTTCTGTGTCCCTTCTCTTTGGAGCTGAGTTATTCAGTCTCTTATATTTCTAGCGAGAAAATTTACTCAAGCCTTATATATTAATAGCATCCATTAGTATAATGCCAAATTAAAATAACCAACCAATCGACTTCCCCTCCTCCCAGGTTATTCCCACCTAGAGGACATCACTGGTAACCTTGAACAGTTCAAATAAAAGTCATGACTGTCAACCCAAATTGAAGAAGTCCAGATATCAGGACATCTCACCAGAAACACCTATGAGGTGCTAAGGAGCCAGAGAGGCACAGAGGGCCTGTGCTCGTACCAAGCGCTGAGTTCTAGATGATCCCCACGTGTTCTCAGGCGAGTTGCTCTGACATCCTGTTGAGTATGCCAAGAAATGTTGATGCAAAATGAACAAACCCTTTAAAAATGTTTAAGGAGAAAGGAAGAGTTTTATTCCAGCCCAAGTTAGGGCAGGTGCCCAGGATACAGTCTGCACAAAGAAGAGAGGGCTCAAATACCTGGGTGGCTCCATCAGTTAAGTGTCTGCCTTTGGCCCAGGTCTGATCCCAGGGTCCTGCGATAATCCCAGGGGTACTCAGTGGGGAGTCTGCTTCTCCTTTTGCCTTCCCCCCACTGATGCGTGCTCTCTCTCTCTTAAATAAATAAATAAAATAAAATCTTTTTTAAAAAAATGAGTTAAAGGGGACGCCTGGGTGGCTCAGTGAGTTAAAGCCTCTGCCTTCAGCTCGGGTCATGATCTCAGGATCCTGGGATCGAGCCCCGCATCAGGCTCTCTGCTCAGCAGGGAGCCTGCTTCCTGGACCCCCCCCCCACAACTCTGCCTGCTTCTCTGCCTGCTTGTGATCTCTCTCTCTCTCTGTGTGAAATAAATAAATAAAATCTTTAAAAAAAAAATGAGTTAAAGGGCTCCTGGGTGGCTCAGTGGGTTAAGCCTCTGCCTTTGGCTCAGGTCATGATCTCAGGGTCCTGGGATCGAGCCCTGCATCAGGCTCTCTGCACATCGGGGAGCCTGCTTCCCCCTCTCTCTCTGCCTGACTCTCTGCCTGCTTGTGATCTCTGCCTGCCGAATAAATAAAGAAAAATCTTTAAAAAAAAAAAAAGAGTTACAAATCATCATAATGAAGGACATTCCAGAAAGTTTCAGACTTTTTCTTGTGTTTTTAGTATGTGCAAGTCTGTAGGACTTTCATCTTTTGGGACCCAGGGTGGTTTTTTGTTTTTCTTATCTTTAAGTTTGGAATGCTCCTTTTTGTTTTGTTTTTGTTGTTTTAATGAAGCAGACAGACAATGTGTGCTCTAGGCAGACATAGAGCCTGTGCTCTGAGGTTTTGTGCAGTCATTTTGATCTTAGTAAATGTTAAAGTATAGCTTCCCTGGGAGCCCTGGGGCAGGGCCCACAAACACTAGAAACTGAAAATTTCCTTGATCAATTAGTAATTACTACATTATTTTAATTTTTGTTTTAAAATTGTATTTCTCATATTTTAAGTCATTTTAATTGCTAATGTATTATTTGCTGTAGTTTGCTATTTTATTATATTATTTTAAAAATCATTTTTATTATTTATTGCTTAGTTTATAATTATACATAATTATTGATTATAGTTATTGATGAGGCTCCCAAAGACCTTGGAGTTTTGCCCTTTGTCTCCACGGCCTGCAGGGACAAATGATAGGGAAGAGGTCAATGCCCCTTGCTGCCCCCTTGCTGCCCTCAGCCTCATGTGGGCTTTATCATCCCAGACAGTCCCTGGCTGGAGGGAGACTGGCCATCATGTCCACACTTGGGGTCTTCCTGATGCTCTGGGGTGAGGTTGCTGGGGCTGGGTTCCCTTGGGGCAGGAGGGAGGAGAAGGGACAGGAATGGGGGCCTCACAGGTGCCCTCTCTACAGGTCTCTCACTGGGCCCAGTGACTGAGGCAGCAGTAGGTGAGTCCGGGTCGGGTCTTGGGGGGAGGTGGGCACCTGCAGAGGTGAGCCCCTGTCCTGGAGCCCCGCACTGACCGCCACTGGCCACGCAGTATTTGATCCCCAGCCAGACCTGTGGGCAGAGGCCGAATCGCTGCTGAAGCCCTGGGCTGGCTTGACACTGGTGTGCCAGGCCCGCCTGAAGACCCCGGATTTTGAGTTGCTCAAAGATGGGGTAACCCAGGAACTTGTGCACCTCGACTTACCCGCCATGGAGCACCGGTTCCCACTAGGAGCAGTGACGAGTGACACCCGGGGCCTCTACCGCTGCCGTTCTGGCTTGAAGAGTGGATGGACCCAGTTGAGCAACCTCCTGGAGGTGACCGGAGCAGGTGTGCGTAGGCTTTAATGGAGGCGTGAGACAGTGGGGAAAGGGCTGCGTGCGGGGCAGGCCTCCC